CCCCAAAACCCCAAAACCCCAAAACCCCATTCTATTTTTAAATTCTTGAAACGCGACTAAGTACCAAGATTTAGGTAACAAATTAGAAGGACAATAGAGTCTTAGCTACATTAGTAGTGGTAAATGGGATGGGCCAGGTCATCCTACTTGGAGGTTCTCTCCAAGAGAAGGCCCCTCTCTTCGATGATTCTGTACAGGTAGTTACTGAAAGATATGCCTATGTCAAAATTAGCTTCCTAAGGTTATTTTAAGGAGCAAAATTGAATATTGCCAAAGTTCAGATCGTCAAATGAAATCATGTTGTTTTTAGTCATACAACAAGGGGTGTTATTCATCATGTTAGCAATTTTGAAGATATCTTACCTCCTTCCCATTTATTTTCAATAATTTTATTGAAAGCTGGGGTTTTGGGGTTTTGGGGTTTGGGGGTTTTGGAGTATTTTAGCAAAGAAATATTGATTTATAGGCTTTGGGGAGTTAGATATGACTAAAAATCCTGATTTCAGTTTTTATTCTTAAATTTTTTATTTTGAGCTGAGAATTTACTGAAAGAGATATAAGCTCTTAGATATCTAAAATAGTTCTATAATATGTTTAAAACCCCCCAAGAAGTAGAAACAAGAGAAGCAAGTTTTTTATTTAAAGAACATACATTGAGAGCATCTAAACTATTAGTTAACCTTAGTGAAGAGATTTTATCTTTTCATTATTAATTTACTCTGGTTATTATATCAATTCTTTATTTCCTAAAGTTTTCAATTAAATATTATCATAAAAACTATAACACTAAAATTCAGCAAGCCATTTCTAAAGAAAATTTGTTCTTTGTCATAAAATTATTTCAATTGTCACTAAACAAGAAAAATCTAAATAAATACCTCATCCTCCCTTAACTGTACTCACTTCCGATAAGAAAGAAGAACATTTGAATTTATTGAAGTTTAACCTAATGATCTTTCCATTTTTAAGCCACCCAATCTTCATAAACTTTAAGAAATTAAGCATCTGCTCTAAAACATCTAAGGTGTAATATGAATGTATAAAATCAACATTCCTAATCTTCTGGTCAACCTTCTGCATAAGCTTGTAATTCCCAAATCGGACACCCATTAGGGTCGCATTCCTAGCCCAGTCCTGATAAAGGGAGATTGATAGCTTTAAACATAGCCATGTATTGGCCTAAAGCGTTAAGTAATTTTGGAGTTTAGACAACAAATAATGCAGAAAAAGTATTTCAACCAGAACAAAGGAAAAACAGTTGTTTTAGCAATTTGAATGGCCATTTTGGTCGAGTTATGCATGGCTACCTTCTCTTTCGGATGTATGGAAGGGTATTTTGAGCAAGGAGATCAATGAATTCCGTGTGATAGTTCATGAAGGAACTGAAGTGATGCAAACTCTTGAGATGTTTGAGAGCCTTATATGTTCAAAAATTTAAACTCCGGATTGTGTGAATTTTGAGATCAAGAGCAATATTACAATAGAATCACAGGCGCTTGCGAATCTTGTGAAAACTCGTGTATCGATGAATGTAAGCACAGTCCAAGTTGATTAAATTGCCCTCCAGAACAGTTTATGGATTTAGAGAGTCTGAGCTGAATTGATAGCTGAGATTCTGATCAAATTGAAATAAACTCAGAGCATCTTAGCTATGTAGCAATATGAAAATAATCCTGAAATTTTTATTGATCATTTCAGCTCAGAAATTCTTGAACTGGGAACTCTAAGATATCCTTACAGGACGATGAAATCAGCTGCATCAGAGATTCTAAATTACTACAGTCATACAAATCTGAGCATCACAGTTTACACAAAGCATGTTTACCTTGAAACTGACACGTTCTATATTCTAAACATGACATCCATTAGACTCCAGCCTCATCCAGATTACCAGAGTATGTTATTAAACTCCCTTTCCAATATTTCTAATTTCACAGCCCTAAATTTTCTCTAGACTCCCAGGACCCCTCAAGCTTTCTTAATGCTCGCTTGATAATTACTCCAGTCGCCCAAGCAGGAATCTCCAAGAAAGCCAGAGTCCATCTTCAAAAATCCGTCAGTACTGATCCAGCACCTCTTCTCAGCCAAGGTTTTTATACCGAAGAGGAAACCCAGTATTTTAGTAAAAGTAAATATGGGCTGGTCTTCTCCAGGACGGAGTTCCACATAACCAATATTGACATATACGGCATTGGAGTCGCCATCAACATACTCCCCTTGTATTTGCAGGAGAAGGAAGCCAGGATAGGTAAGTTTATATATTTTGGGAATATTAGCAATAGCTACCAAGGTATAAAAACTTCAAAATACCACCTTGGAAATACTATTTTTTGTTACATCTAGTTCATTCTTATTTCACCTTGCAATCTATTTCCTACTCTAAATCAACACACAACTTTTCCTAAACACCCACCAACTAAAGCCTCTCTCAATCTTTCTCAAAACCCCACTTTAAATCCCAAAACCCCTTCCAACACACCTTATCCCCCTCTTTTCCACCTAATACTTCAATCTCTACCCATCCACTCCATTTCTTCACTCTCTTCCTCCCGATTTCCCCATTCGGCTTCACAGTTCTCTGATTGGCCTCAGTCAGACTTTGGAATTTTGTTCTGAAGGTAGGATTAAAGGACTTAGATGGGGTAGGAGATTTGGGTAAAGATTGAGGGCTGATGGGATTTTGGGTGAATTTTTTGAAGTGAGCGGTTTTAATTGGTTTAGAAAATGCCAATTTTGATACGACAGGAAAAGGAATCTATCCCATTAGTCCAGCTAATATTCGAGTTGAAAATATTACTTGTAACATGAGAGATGAATTCATTTGGATTGAAACATCCATGGCAGTTTGAAATTATCCTGAAGCAGTCACCAACAATTCACTCTATGCGAAAAATATAAGTGATAGTCCAAGTCTTTCTAGCTCAAGCGAGAGTAAGTCTTAAGTGATATATGAATTCAAAATGATTTAATTATTATTTCTCTGTTTTTTTAGTTATTTTTCTTGAATATTTTTATGCAAAGACAAAAGATAAGGCATTTTTTTTTGCTTTCTTCGAATCTTCAAAGAAATTTTTGTGATGATAATAAAAATATAGATTCTAATGAAGCTAGATACGGGACAATGATAATCTTGAGTTTTCCTGGCAATAATAGCTTGATAAACATTGATTGAAGAAAAGCATATGCAAATCCTTTTACACTCTCAAGTTGTTGGATAGTAGCTACTAGTCCAAACTGTGTCCCTGAAGATGATTTATCAACCCAGACAGTCTTCAATCACACTTACCATGATGGGTTAGCAGTTCAGGAGTCAGGTGGCTTCATTTATCTTCCTACTTTTCTGATTCACTATCCTCCTTATAGAAAGATAAATGTTTTTGTAGAGAACACTCATATTTCCAATCTAAACTGGATATCCTCCTATGGACTGTTTTATTTCTGGCTAAGTGGAAGAGAGACTGTACATTTGTCAAACTTCTTTTTCAACAATGTCACCAATATTCCTTTCCTTTTCCAAGTGCTTAACTATGAGAGTTTGACAGCTGATAATATTTATTTCGAGCAGAACATCAATCTTAGAGGAAAAATATTTGAAGTCTCTTCTCAAGGAAATTTTAGCATCAACAGTCTATTTCTAACCAACTACACAAATGCAGGAGGAAATGCGATATCTCCCATTGAAATCATTCCGGGGCCTGCAACAGACATCACTCTTAGTGAAATTAAGATGAACTCATTCCAACTGTTCGATGTTCCTTTCTTAAATGTGCTTGGTACTGCTAATGAACTTACCATCAAAGACTCATTATTGGATGGTGTCCAGTTCGCATCAGAAGGATCTTTGTTTTATGCACAGGGTTTGAACTCTTTCTCAATGACGAATCTTACCGTTTGAAACACAACATCTGTAGACTCTTCAGATCGTAAATCGGTCTTACTCAATATTGCAGCATTGAACATTGGGTCTGTGCAGAGTGCAAACATCAGCGAAATCCAAATTCAAAACTCTTCGGTCTCTCTTTTCAAGATAAACACTTTTATAAACCACACAGACGAACTAAGATCCTTTGACATCCAATCAATCAGGTATTTTGACAGTCAAATTTCTACGAAGAGAGCGTTGATATCAACTCAAAGAATCTCAGCAGCTTCCAACTTTTCAATCAGAATGTCTGAGCTGATTTTTGAGAATATTGAATTCACAGTTTCAGGGTCTCTACTAGAAATGATGCATCATCTGCCAACCAATGTCACTTTGCAAAATTCAGGTTTTACTAACATTACATCAGGAGCAATCAATATTGAAGGCAGCAAGCAAAGTGAAGATTTAAGCACTCAGGTTTTAATAAGCAACTGCTCATTCATGAATGTTGAGTCTTCTTCTAACTCCTTTATTGCGATAAGTCAGAATGCAGCTGTTGAGATCCATGGAAGTTTCTTTACAAATCTGACTCTCACCACATTTTTATCAGGCATGATGCATATCTATGATGGAGCCAGAGTTACTATGACACAATCGAACTTCACACATAATTCAGCAGCAATAGCCTCAATAGTGAAGATAGAGTCAGAAGCACTGGTGGTCGTTGACACCTGCAATATTCATAACAATTTTGCAGTTACCAACGGAGTGTTTGAAGCTTCTTCTTTTGGAACAATTATTATCAAAAATAGTAAAATTTACAATAACTATGCTATCCAATATCCAGTGGGAACTGTATTCCTCAGTGTAGATCCTTCGGAGATCATAAATACAGAAATCTATGAGAACAAACTGATCACTAGATTAAATATTTCAAGCGAAATTTCTGATGCTTGTGTGAACTTGTGATTTTTGCATCAAAGAATGAAAGACTACCTCAATATTACAAATTTGAATGATACAACAGAACAAAGTTACTTATTCCAGGTTCTACAAGGAAGTTTAAATGTCCTCGACCTAACTCATATTCACGATGAGAATATAGTTCTCAAGTCTTTCTTGTCTAATGTTCAAATAAAAAGAGCTAGATTTACTAATATTCAGTATTCATCTTCTCCATTAAATATCCTTGACTCAGATTTCACGATCGAGCATACAGAAATAAATGGAACTCAAACAAATTCAATTCAGGAGAGCTTTATAATTGCTAATTCTGCAGTTATCTCTATCAGCAACATGAGCTATGTTAATTCAAATTCTCAGATGATACTTTCAGCGAATTCTCACCTTGAAATTGCAAATGTTCAGTTCACAAATATATCTGAATGCTCTTATCTAATGTCCATGGTATTGTGTAATTGGCTTTCATTAGAAAATGTGAATATTGAAGCTTCAACTACGAAAGAATCTGTGATGGTGTACGCTCATGATACATCGAACATAACTATAGAGCACATTAGCCTAGCTAATATTAATTCTACCTTTGCTTATTTCAAAGATTCTCAAATATTAAGTATTAGAGATCTGAACATCTCAAACATGAATCAAGCTTTTCGTTTAGTTGATAGTGAAATTGAAATGATGGCTGACTCTAAGTTTACCAATAATTACTCAAACAGCTCAGGAGGGGCGATATCAATGCTTAATTCAAAGATCTCAATTGAAAACTCATCTTTCATTGAAAATTCAGCTAATAAAGGAGGGGCAATAATGTTTGGATGTACCAGCATGAATGTATGTGAACTTAATGTAACTAACTCTACATTTGACAGTAACAAAGCTGTGGTTCAAGGAGGAGCTATTTCTTACGATTATAATATCCCGAAAATAACAAAAACTAACTTTCAAAACAATTCAGCTGCATATGGTCAAAACTACGCAAGCTATCCAGCAAGGATTGGGTATAAGGACAGCAACAATAACGATATTTCAATTAAAGAAATTGCTTCTGGAATCAAAGTCCAGGAAGGTTTAGAACTAGCCTTGTTTGATTTTAACGATCAAATCATGGTACTTGACAATGAAAGCCAAATTCTGATTCTGCCTTTAAACTCGTCAATATCATCGGTCAGTGGGACAAATGTTGTAACTGTTCAAGAAGGAGTCGCAATTTTTGATAATATTGCCTTTGAAGTAGATCAAAAGTTGAGAGATTCTGACTACAAAATCACATCGAAATCGATAGATTCAAGTAAGATCAAAGAAGTAAAGAGAAACAGCTTTCAACAGAAGGATCTCGAAGTAAAATTTAGAGATTGAGAGCCTGGAGAGAGGATTCTTGGTAATAAGTGAGAAGTATGAGCAGCTGGAACATATTCTCTTAGTTACAATTCCACAGAATGAACTGAGTGAGACTTAGAAGCTGAATGCCATGGAGGGACAGAAATCTTTCTTAAACCTGGTTTCTGGCGAAGGTTTCATAACACAACAAAAATAGTAGAATGAATCAATAAAGACGCCTGAGAGGGTAAATATCTGGCAGAATCAATTTCTCCTTCTGTCTGAGCAGAAGGATATACTGGGAACCTGTGAGCCCAATGACTTATCACTGATGAATTAAAATACGAGAGAGTTAATGATTATGAATGAAGAAAGTGTCCACATGCTTTGTGGAATGCTATACAAGTAATAGGAACAATTCTTATAGTTTTAATGTTCTACATTTTATTGATCATCATTAATGTGAGAAAGACTTCTGAAAGCCGGCTTTCAGTCACAATAAGGATACTTACCAACTATCTGCAGCTTATCACTGTTTCAACATCAATCAGTAGTAATTATGGAGGGCTGGTATCGGTGACAGCTCCGATAAAAATATTTGGAGGGTCTGCAAATGTGTTTCTCTCTTTTGATTGCTTTTTGGAGGATGCCCAAATAAAGTTCTTCTTCGACTCAAATGCTATTTTCAAATTATTCTTACTATTCTTCCTGCCTATCATTCTTTTCCTGGTTGTTTGAGCCATATGGGCCTGAGTCTATGTTATCAAGAAAAAGTGGGTTCCTGATTTCAAAAGAAACATCATTATTTCTTTTATTACTATTGTCTTCCTTCTTCATCCTAAATTAACTGAGAACAGTATTAGTCTCCTCAGATGAGCTGAGCTAGACGAGGAGCATAGTGTCGTAAGAATTGACACAACCATCGAGTGATTCTCCTTTGAGCATATTAAGTGGATACTTATTGTATCTGGACCAATACTTCTGATATGGGTGATAGCCTGCCCAGTCCTTGCTCTATTGATGATATACATGGGTAAACGAAACCCCAAGTATGCTAAAGTCTCTGAATATTTTCTAATGATTTACCAAGGACTAAAGCCTAATGTGATGTACTGGGAGTTTGTCAACACTTTGAGGAAAATAATTATTCTGATATCTCTTTTATTCTCAACTACAGTGACAGTGTTTATATCTCTCGTTACGTTGATAGCTACAGCAAGGATCCAGATCTATCTGAGTCCTTATAAGAATATAGAGCACTCTCATGTAGAATATTTAGCAATAATGTCAGGAGTCATAACTGTTGCTGGTGGGTTACTTTACTCACAAGATGACAAGCATAATACTCTAGATTTTTGTATCTTTATTGCTATTGTTACGATCAACTTTAAATTTTTAGTTGAGTGGCTGCACCTTGCTTTATCAATTTATAAGAAAAATAAAATTGTGGAATTTGTAAGTTACCTAAGTATGACCTTACTACAGGTTTTAAAACTCACAACTGTAATACTCTGTAAAAAGGAAGAGTAAGCAAGTCTGGATTTATTTATAGAAACCCTCCTGATACAGAAAAGGTTTCGAAAGAGGTAACTCTTTATTATCATCAATCAATAGAAATTAGAGGGACCATCAATTTCAAAAGATAGTTCTCCAGACAGGACTCCAGAGGGTAAGTGTCTTCTCTGACTCCTATCAGTTTCCAAAAGATTGATCAGACCTAAAATGAAAAAGTCTAAAAAAAGACATCTTAGAAGAAAGAAAGCAAAAAGGAGGTTCCAAAAGTTTATGGAAAAGTAAGCCTTGAAGCTTGACAAATACAGTGAACAACAGGAGAACGATCAAGAAGGTCTACAGGGTAAGTTTCAGTCCATAATTCTTGGAGGACTTACATATTCTTATTATTAGGCGGAATCACTCCGACAAATGATCACCGAAATCCGATAACCACGGGTAAGAGAATGCTAGGTGAGTTGGGACATTGAATTTTATCGGATTGAAGTTTAGACAATCGTGGAATGCTAATTATACAGAAATTATAATTTCTGTATCAAAATTATGAAGGGGCTGATTTTTAATGACATTTTTGAACCTCTCCAAGAATTTAGGGTTGAAATACTTCCTCTAATAGATTTATATTTGAGTAGATGGCTGAATAACTATCATATATAGACCATACACCCAACTTCGATGAATACCAAGAGGTACTTTCATTCATAACTCCCATAGGAAATTTTCACTCCTAATGCAGCACTTATCCACTTCCACCCTAAAATCCCTAGTTCCAGAAGACACAACAACTAATGCACTCAATAATAAAGTTAGATTAACAACTTTGCTAATTTAAAGTCTCATCTTCTCATTCTAATACTTTAGTTAAATATTCTTCACTTCTTTGACCACCATGGGGTTTTGGGGTTTTGGGGTTTTGGGGTTTTGGGG